CTGCTCATCAAATATCTGAAGAGTACACTCCCTATGTATCTGCCGACCCTCACGGTCCTATCATCTGCTATCTCAACCTCTAATGGACAATCCAGCTCCCTGGAGCTCTGCTAAATCTCTTGCTAAGCGCAAGCGATACGAATGATCGGGTAGCCCCCGAATCGAACAATACCAAAGCAGAAATGCCGTTCACCGAGAACGACCCTAAATAAAGCATATCATCAAGTAATATTCAAACGATAATAATAATTAAAAGATGAAGGAAAGATACCTACCCGTCACCACATCAGGAGTCGCTCGCGCCTCCTCTGCTGTCATCTGAAACGCCCTGCTCTTCGCCACTGGCGCATCAGATCGGCCCTGCCGGCCATCTGTAATCCTCAAGGTGGCAGGGGCAGGTGCAACCACCTTCCCTGCTGCAGCTAAACTGGGACACTGGGACTTTTTATGTCCCCTCTGATTGCACTGAAAGAAATCAGATCTGATGCTGTAACCGTAGTAGCAGGGGCCGTACAATCCCTACTCAAATGCCCAGTCCGACCGCACTTGTAGCAGCCAGAACTCCCTGCCTTGCACGCCCCCTCGTGCAATCTCCCACACTTGCCACACCGACCGTGGCTCTGCTGACTCCTAGACCTGTGATCCGAAACCTTGGGCTTTTTGCCCAAACTGCCTGAACCCGAAACCGCCTCCGGTTTCCTCTTCTTCTCAATCTCGAGATCAATCTCCCTCTCCCGAGCTCTAGCAATCATGTCGTCCAGCGTTTTACAACTGGACCGGCTCACAAACATGCGGATATCACTCCGCAACATCTCATGATAACGGGCCTTCTTCATCTCCTCATCGGCTGCATACTGCGGAACAAGAAGAGCCCTCTCCCTGAACTTGGCGGTGATCTCCGCCACTGTCTCTGTAGTCTGGGTAAGGTCCTGAAACTCCCTAGCTAACTGCTGCACCTCAATGACCGGTGCAAACTCCGCCCTGAACCTGGTAGAGAAATCAGCCCAGGTCATGGCATCCAATGCCGCATCATCCCCGATGGCATGTCCGACCTCCTCCCACCAATCCCGTGCCCTGTCCTTCAGAAGACAGGACGCCAATCTGACCTTGTCCCCCTCGGGACACCTGCTAGTGCGGAAAGCGTTGGCCACATCCGCCAACCATCTGGTACTCGCTATGGGGTCCCGCGCCCCATGATAGTCTGGAGCTCCGCATGCCCTGAACTCCTGAACGTAAGTGTGCGCGACCCCATCATGGCCGCCATCTCCGCACGGAAAATACCCAATCTCTCATCCATCAGCTCTAAAATACCCTCCTTGATCGAACCGAAGATCACAGGAGTCTGCTCCAGTATGATGCGGGTAACCTCAGAAGAAAGGAACTCTCTGGTCTGCTCATCCATCTGCCCGACCTCCGGGCCTGATCCCGATCCTGATCCCCCTCCGGCATCTGAGCTGCCGACTGCTGGTCTCGGACGCAAAACTACCATTCTGAAACATATCATAACAACATCAGAACACTGAAATATCTCAAGGGATCATGACACTGCTACTAGCTTCCTGGTCTTGTCTTGGCCTTCCTTGATTCGAGTACGGATCCTCTGCTTTCAGTAGTACGGGCCCATACTACCTTCCACATCTATCCGTACTTTCCTCAAGAACTGCCTTGACTCCACCAAGTCACTTCTACTACTGCTATTCTCTGCTACTCTCATCCTAGGCTTGCCCTAGGGAAACCTCAGGCTCAACACGACTGGTCCTCAGCTGCTGAAGGTCTCCTCATAATGCCAATTAGCCACCACCTAAACACCATCACATGTGATGAGGATCAGATAATCCTTCAAGTAAAAGACCCGTCCCTATAACGGTTGGACTCAAACAAGAGCTGCGCAATAGGGCCAGTTCCAGTACTCTGGGATTATTCAAACCTGATCACATGTGGTGTGACGTGTTCACCTAATGGCTAACTCCCATTACTCAGAACCCCACCAAGCACGAAGCAAGCAGCATTCGGATAAGGGAAACAGACTCAGGCAAAACTATTCTCATAACAAGAAACTGCACTAGCAAAGGATGCTAAGCTCATACTATCAGGCATAACCTAAACAGGCTATCCTACTGCTGTCTACTCAGTACTAGCATGCAATACTCATAAAGTGTAACACATAAGCAGGCACATAAGGCATTCTCCTAGATCCTTAGTCCTATACTAGCATGCTTTCTACTGAAACTGAAACTGAACAAATAACTTGTATGGGTAATTTGGGAGTACTTACTTGAGCTCGGCTGACCGCATGCACACACCTCTATCTTGTTAAAAACTATTCTTTCTTTCTAAGTGCTTTCAAAATTCTCTTTGTAATACGTTTTTATTATTTTTAAAATAAAATCTTTTATTTCCCTTAGTTTGAGTTCAGATACACCCGGAAGTGTATCCGAATCCCTCAAACCAGGGCTCTGATACCAACTTGAAACAACCCAAAAATACGACCCAAAAATTTCGTTTTTCGATATAATCAAAACCATAATCAGAGTGTCATATAATAAAACCATACGTGATGTATTCCAACATAATAGAAAACACTGTGCGGAAACTGTATCATACTACGTCAAATCAAAACAAACTAAATCAATCCCAGGCTAAAAGCTAAAGCTGTGGTGTGTGCGATGCCGTCACCCCGAGCTCTTCCCTTTGCTTGCGGAAGTACCTGAAACCAAAACTGAAACTGTAAGCACGAAGCTTAGTGAGCTCCCCCAAACTACCACATACCATACAATAACATATAAACACATATTGGGCCTTGCCCACTGCATCGGGACGAAGCCCGGCAACTGCATCGGACCGAAGTCCGGAACTGACTGGGACCTTGTCCCCTGCATCGGACCAAAGTCCGGAACTATCTGCATCGGACCGAAGTCCGAAACTAACTGCATCGGACCGAAGTCCGGAACTAACTGCATCGGACCAAAGTCCGGAACTAACTGCATCGGACCAAAGTCCGGAACCGACTGCATCGGACAGAAGTCCGGAACTAACTGCATCGAACCAAAGTCCGGAACCGACTGGGACCTTGTCCCCTGCATCGGACTGAAGTTCGGAACTAACTGACTGAGCATAGCGTAGCATAACATAACAACTAGCATGAACACATATACTGCATACTACATCGGGCCGTAGCCCGGAACACATAATACATAACACATAAAACATAGCACACAAATCCTGTCTGAGCCACGAAGGCATCAAACATACTAGCTACTGCATCGGATCAAAGTCCGGAAACTACTGCTAACTGAACGGGCCGGCATTGTGGCCTTAGACCCGTCCCTACTGGAAGGAAACTCACCTCGTAAACTGGCTGCTGAGTGTGTGGCTCTGGGAACTAACTGCTGCTGCTCCTGTATCTCCCCGGCTACAAGTCCATAAACACACTCAATCAAATACTAAACACTGTGCTTGGGTAAAATGACTCTTTTACCCTTGGTCAAAATCACTCTCATTTGGACTGACTCGCCGAGTTGGGCCTCCCAACTCGCCGAGTCCTACTCTCACTTTTCAATCCTACTCGCTGCTACTCGTCGAGTATGGCATCGACTCGACGAGTACCCTCTTGATCCAAGAACTCAGACAATCTTCATCCGACTCGCCGAGTCGTATGAACAACTCGACGAGTTGTTCTTGAGCTTAAGAAGATTGCCTTGGACTCGCCGAGTTGTATGAACAACTCGTCGAGTCCCTCCATCACTGAGTCTACCCTCAACTCGCTGAGTCCACTCTCTAACTCACTGGTTCCACTCGACACTGCTAAAATGAAGGAATCGGGGACTCGCGACTCGACTCGCCGAGTCGTTCTTCCCGACTCGCCGAGTTGCCGCCATGCAACTGTTTTCACTCGATTTTGCTTGAATCCAGAACATACAAATGATAGATCTGAGTCCAATAAGCTGATTTACCACGTAAAGTTTCCAACTTTACGTGTACAAACACATGAAAAGGGAAATAAGGCTAAAAGATGCATAAAAGGGATAGATCTAGGGTTAATATGCAAAGTATCCCATAAAGGCAATAGATCTGGACTATGGGACTTCTCAATGAATAGATCTAAGGATATCTCGGCTTGTTAGGGCATTCATGCAATCATAAGGCTTGGAACAAGCATCAACTAGATCTTAGAAGAGTTCTAATGGAGGTTTAAAGCATAAAACAAGAGGGGAAATCCGAAAATACCTCAAATAACTCAGATTTGCCCTTGGATCTTGGCACTCCACCTCTTCTCCTTGCTCCTTTCTTCTTCTCCTTCTTCAAGCCTTCACAAAATCACACAAAATCACTTACAAACCTCTCAAGGATGAACTAGGGTTTTCTCACAGCTTTAGAGGGTGAAGGAGGCGAGAATGGGGGCTATAAGGTGACTTAAATAGTGGGCAACCCGGGGATTTAGGGTTTCACCCAGACGGACGGACTCGCCGAGTCTGGGATATGGACTCGCCGAGTCACCAGCTAACACGTGCTCGAAGTCGCGACCCTACTCGGCGAGTCAGGCTATGAACTCGCCGAGTCCCTCTTGCAAAACTTTAAAACAATTACTAATGAATTAACATATCGGGAACGGGTCGTTACAACTAAATTGTATTATTTAACTTACCCATAATCTCTTTTTGATGCAAAAACTGAGTTGTATAACGACATTTCATCCTTCTTCACCTTGTCACTCGTTCTAACAATCCTTTCAACAAAAGGTGATTTTCCATATACAAATATCTCTTGATCTCTTTTTCCTCTTTTTCCATGGTCATCATCTTCCTCACATACCTCAACCGTTTCCATGATTTTCTTTCCTCTTTTTTATAACTTTCCAACACAGCCTCATCCGTCATTTTAATTGTTGTTGCCAACATTTTAGGATTCTCCAAGAATTATGAACAAGTTAGATTATCTTTAATACCTACCTTATCCATTTGAGGTGTACTGAAACCTCCACCATCATCCTTCTTTTCCCCTTAAACTGCCAATCCTCCAATTGGTGAGAATTCTGCTTCTTTACCACCATCTGCATCTCCTTTGTTACTATCACCATCAAAACTAGGATCCTTGGCTTTCATTCCTCCACTCTCTGCATTATTAACTTCTTTGAACAATATTTTGTTTTTTTCACACCACTCCTTCAAGCTCAAGTTGTTTGGGACTTTCTCAATTCCATGTTTTAGAGCTTTTTCAATATTCTTCTTTTCAGATAATATTACTCCATAGCTATGCTTGATAACAACCACGTATTCCTGTAAGTTTTATATTAACATATCATGATTAATATTCTAAAAAAATTAATGTTCCAAATAGATCAATAACTATAAATCAAGTCATTCAATTTAAATCAGCCACATTTGCATTTATGTTTTATATTAAACTATCATTTTTTACAATTCAGAAAGAAATATTGTTCTGAATTCTTAGTGAATTTATAGCTTACCTCCTCGTCACCATAATCCCTCATCATCCCGTCCAACATATCATCTTCAACAACCATTCCATCATCATCACCAATATCCTCAAAGTTTTCCGGTAACTGCCTACCAAACCCCCCAACACTAATCTCTATATTCTCTATTTTTTCAAGTAAAGAACCAGTAACATTTCTAACAAACGGTAACCTTTTCACTATCTTCAAACATGTGAACTTCATTCTATATACATAATAGTATAGGTCTACTGCAATAGCATGTCTTATCATCTCTTCTCCACAGTTTTTTTCTGCTTACCAAACAATCTAGGATATACTTTCACCAATCAATTTTATAGAAGTCCTTTACCAAGACCAACTTATTAACAAAATTAATTTGATTTGTACCACTCAAATTTTATTCTGCAAATGTGTTAATGAAAAGGGTCAGGAAATTCAGCCTAAACATAAGACTGTCTTGCTTTGTGTTTTTGATCATTTTCAGGTATTCTTCACCATTGAACCCTTTTTTGTCGTATTGGCCTTTCCATTCTTGTAGAACTTCATTATCCTTATCACAACTACTCAACCTCAGAAAGTCTTCCCCCGCATTTGGTAAACCCAACATTTCATGCAATGTGTCTTTCGTAATTCTTATGACCATATTTTCCAAAACTAGACGGCTACTATCTAGATCATAGTGATCTAACAGATAGTAGTTAAGTAAACCCAGAGTAGTGTCTATGTCAATATGAAGTGAACCAAATCCCATTGACACAATCGCATTTTTCTGTGTGGGTGACATTACTTTCACAACTGAACTTATCCTTCCAGGAGTCATCCTAGTTACAAGTCTTCTATAACCTTCTGGATGGTCCTTGCTTATTTTTCTGACCTTCCCCCCCATTGTTTTGATTTTATCATTTTCATGTTCTACTTTTCCTTTCTTTCTTTTTGGACTTTTCTTTGAATGTGCATCTTGCACCACCTTTTTCCTTTCTACAACATCTTCCTTATCTTCCATATCCACACCAATATTAGCCTTTTCATTGTTTTTCTTTGACCCACTAATTCTCTCCATAAAAATCTCATTTAAACATCTTGGTTTTTTCCTTTCACCACTTGCATCTGACGATTTCTTCTTGTCCTTAACAGGTGTATTTCTATTAGAGTTCTTCCTTTTCAGACTTCTAACACTTGTGCTGACAATTTGTATTGTGTCTTTAATATCTCTGTTAAACTCTGTTATATCACAAAATAACAATTACTAATCGTATAATACAACTTCAATAGAATAATAAACTCTATATTAGCCATATCAGAAACATATAGTTGAACTCATTAATTACATGCACTTATTATCTAACCTATCTTACCACATTCAACATTGTTCTTTCCATGTTCTGATTTTGATGTTTTTTTCATCTGTTTCTTTGTTTGGTTGATCCAACAATATTCATATCATTTTGTCCACTTCTGCCACCTTCTGCTTCATTAATTAACAGTTAATACATATTAGCTATCAACATTTTATAAAATTATTGTTATTTTCCTTCATAAATCAAAAAAATTTAATCTACCTGTACGTTGAGTACTGATATTCTCTTTAACGGGTGTTGATCTGGTATGGTAGTTCCTTCTAACCTTTGTTTGGCTTGAAGTATCAACATTAATTGGGACTGGATCAACTTCTGCAACAGCTAATAAAATGAATGATTAACGTTTGTTAATAATAGTTTTCAAAGTAACTAGCCATAGTTCATTACTTATAAAAAATAAATTTATTATACAACTTTTCATTCTGTAAGGATGAAACGCAAACCCAAAACATGTTTCTACAAGAATTAAAACCAAATATTAAAAAAAAATCATTAAACTTGTTAGTAATAAAAACATACACATTTAGTTAATAGCAATCTCCATATTAAACAGTCACATTCCAATCTGTATGACCCCAATATACACTTACTTTTGTTACAATTACGTAAGCATGTACACACATACCCTAACAATGATTCTATTAGAATCTTAATATTTAGGACAACATTCTATTAAAATGCTAATAGAATGAACATAGACACACACAAATTTACTAGAATTATAATTAGTAGGAGTAAATTCTATCAGAATGCTAATACGTATAATGTACACAAACACAATTATGTTACAATGCTTTTATTACAATTTTGCTTTTGTTCATTCTGTAAGAACGCAAAAAACAATAGTATAATTTTATGTTAAAATTAAAACCACATCTTTACTACAATAACACTAAATCCTCACAGATCACAATAACAAACACATATACAAAGACCCAATATTAATCCCAATATTAACATTAATTTTTAAAGATTGTGTGAGACTTAGACTTATTTAACCACTACATCACGTTCACATGTTACACATTCTTTACGAATTTAACACATTTAATTAAACTAATTATGTTAGAATTACATACACACCATACATATAACTAAACCGCAGCATCAAAATAATAGGAATAAAACTACAAATTATAAAAACAAAAATACCAAATTAATTAAAACAATACAACATTATAGTACTAGATTCTATCATAACATAAAGACCTTGAAAGATGTATGTACTTTTTTTAAAAAAATATCTCAAAATACTAGAAAAAATTTCAATAATAAAGAAAACATTAACACCCTAAATTACCACAACAACAACTATGTTCACTCTGTTTTACATAATTAGTATTCAGGAAGAATGCATTTTAATAATTAGCCTTTTACTTCTTACAAAATATCATGTAGTATGTCTTATATCACAACTACAACAATATATTTCTAAATGAAATAGAGGATAGAAACAACATCGATTCTCGCTGTTACAAAACACAACAAAATACACAATAGCAAACATAACTTCTTCAAGAACCATATTACCAATATCTGTACAGTAAAATTTTTAATTTCGTGTAGAAAATCCCCAATTTTAGAAAACCCTAATGAAAAAAAATACTCCATTTTTATAGAATTTTGTTATTTGTTACTTAAACGAACTTAACAACCACATGCATCTATTTTATTTTTCAAAAATTCCAAAATAATGTTCTGTACTCAAACGATTACCTTAAAAAAAACATTAAAAAAAAAATACCTCCAGACAGAGTAACGAAATCATCATCGTCTTCATCTAGATTCAAAACCGTTGCTTATGTGTTCTTAAATTTCGATTTGAATGAACTAGTCCTTATATTCTTCATTCTACTGCATTTTTTTTTGAACGATCTTCAATACTATAACACTTTATACTAAGAAAACAACACAATCTACCATTATTTTGGTTGATTATAGAAGATTTCATTGATTTCATATTCCAAAACAGAGGGTAGTGGAATCCGACCTTATGCGTAGTTGTAAGGATTATGCGGGGGAAGTTATGAAAATGGAACAGTTTCCTATTTTAATGGAGAGGGCAAATGTACACATATACCATTCTCGATCCTTTTTCATTAAATGTGAACTTTTTCATTTATTTGAAATCTATTTTATGAAAATCATTTTCATTTAAATATTATATATTTCATTGGCCCATAATGATTAATACAATAACACAATAAATAGTGTTAACAAAATAACTTAAGCCTATATATATATATATATATATATATATATATATATATATATATATATATATATATATATATATATATATATATAATTGTGAGCAAAACTATTTTAACTCGGTCTTTTAATTAGGTCAATCACTGTTAAATAACTAACGATCATGACTTCAAGATTTTGTCACTAACAAAATAAGCATGTATTCGAATTGTTTACAAGAATAAAATTATTTTTTTTCTCGTGCATAGAGACTAAACAAAAATTTTTCAAGAGAGAAGTCTCTAATAGTCTCACATTAAAATTGAAATATATGAAAATAGAATAAAACCCTAATAAATAGGTGAGAATGCAGTTGAGAAAAATTAACATATACTGCATCATGTACAAATAACCTGTTGTACTTCGTAAATACACTAACACCATACAGACATATATATACACGCACTGTTACATTGTCACTGTATGAGATTGTGACAATTGAACAGTCGGTTGATGTGCATGTAAGAAAAATATTGAAGAGGTTAGATGAATCAATATGTTTGAGGTTGGCATGGAACCAATGCGACCACAGCTCTCTCTTCAAAGCTCACTGCCGGAGTTTTAAGTACTTTCAGGTATTAGTTTCCCGAGGAACAATAAAGACACAAGAATACACGCACATACTGTCTCTTATTTGGTGTATTTTGGAGGATATAATATTATAATGTGAGACAACAATCAACCCTAATTTCATGAACTTGTCTTTTTGGTCCTATACCACTCTAACACTAGCTACCTACCCACCAATTGAATTCCCATGTCGCATTTTTGAGGAACTATTTAGGGTTTGGGTCCATGATCTATTTGGAAGTATTGAAAAGATGTAGTTTTTCAAGATAAGATATCTTATGAAGGCACTCTTTTTAAATAATTTATTTTCTTTTTAATAAATTTGAAACACGTGTAATATGTTTTTGATGTATTGGTTTTGTTGTATGGATCATTAGGAAAACCCATAATGTTTTGGTGTTCTATAATAGATGCTTTTTGCTAAAGTGAGTGGATAATATTCATTTACATTTTTTGGGTTAAGAATAGATTTTTGTTTAGAAATATATGTTGATTCGATTGTTGTATTTCTTATTTTCATGCATGTAGTTTGTAACTTTTCGATAACATCTTGTTAGACTTTTAATATATCCGCCGCTAAAAAAAAAGAGCTATATATGTCTCAGATATTTTGTAGCATCTTTCATAGTTTTGTTGCTTACCTCTTGCAATGGTTAATATATTGTCTTTCAAATTTTGTAGTTATATGGTTGATCTTGATGTTTCTATTGGTAACCTATCTTTGATGTTATCATACAAATAAGGTTAATTCAACAACCACAATATATATTGATCTCATTGAAATTTAATATATCATCATATCATTATTCTATCTATCATATAATTCTAATAATTTGTTTTTTATAAAACAATGAAACTTACAAAGTTTAAAAATACATATTTACAAAAACGTGTATATAACATATTAAAAAAACCATAATGTTTAATATTTCCTATTTAAGGGTTCAAAAATTATTAAACTCTATATCTATTGAATGCTAAGACGGCTTCTATAGAACTATTGGGTACGGGCCTGTGGATGGGCATTTTTGCCTATGTGGAAGTAACTCAACGTCATGGTGACGGCTGAAACACCACCGCATGCTTCAGTTATGAGCTAGATGTGATATTATGAAATGTGATAACGAATAAGGTAGGCAACTCCCAATAAAATCATTTATTTATTTCTTTTCTTAACACCATGTTATAATATGAGAAAACCACATGTGCTTTATCTTATAGCATGTTAGAATGTGAGGTTGTAATATTTGGCGTCATAACAAGGATGTCGATACCCAATGGTCTAATATTAGAACATAATGTTACAACAATAATATTATACAATACTTAGGTGATGTTTGTTTTTCTAAAACCATCTTCTAACCACTTATTGTTGCGCTGCGCAACACAAGCACAACATTTGGCCCTTTGCATTTGGTTGTTTTTTAGAAAACTTCTGACTTAAAAACTGTTGCATGTGTCATGCGTGGTGCAACACTTGACCCTCTGCTTCAAACAACTTTACACCTTACTTTTAATTTATTGTAGCAGTCTACAGAGTTTAAAAAACAAACAAACTTATTATTACATACTAGAGCCGTTTGATCTCCCTCTTCTGCTACAGAGGATTGCAAAGGTGGTCCGTTGACTTTAAACATTTTCGTCTCGGAAAAAACAAACGACAACTTAGTTTATCAACCCTAAGAAATATATGAACCTGAGAATTACTATAGAACTTACGGGTATAATCAAATGTTGTAACAATTAGTTGATCAAGGCATTATATTCAAGGTTGGTTTATACTTAATATATCACATAAACGAACATAATTAAGAAATAAAAGTTGATATGCTATATTAACAAACTAGAAATCAAATATTTCCATACCTTTATTTCTCATCTATCTTCCAACTTAGTATTATCTAAAGATAAATTTCAAAATCCGAATAAAGGGATTGCAAAAGAAATACTAAATTTTACATCATATTTTATATAAATAAAAAATATATAAAAACAAAAGATAAACAAAATATTTAATTTCTCCAACAAATATTAAGGTTAATGAAATGTTCAGTATGGATGGACCCCTTTTTTGCACAATTGAAAAGTAGGGAGACAAGATATAGTAGCTCTCTATGTGGTGTGACTGAACATAAGAGAAATATGATAGCTAGAGAGAGAATCGGTTATAATTTACAGGGTCTCTAAGTGAGAGGGAGATAATGTTGGGGCCTTAAAGAACAAAGC